TATTATTTCACTTGTTCCACTTGTCGTTGTAAATCAAGTATCTTTTTTACAACGTTAAATTCTATGTTATTAAATTTCACACAATATTACGTAATGTTTTTTGTTTTATTCGATTTGCCTACTAATCCTATAATTCCACATTCTTTTTCAAGTTCTATCCATCCTATGAATTATTCTATATATAACATTAATTTGCTTTGCCACTTGATATTTAACTACGATTATAATCACAAACATTTTAGTTTTAATTGAACTTCATATGATTATTATTATTTTATGCATTCACACCTAAGATTCAATTCCCTCACCGGATATAGCTTTTTTAAAAACCATATATATACGACTGTAAAGCTTGATGATAAATTCTTTGTTGAAAAGAGTCTCTTCGCTGAATCACCACTTATTTTGATTTTCTATATATTACGTATTTGATTGGATGGAGGATATTTCATTATGAGCTGACACATCAGTTAGAGAACCACCGGAAAAAAACCAGCACCTCGGAGTACTGGACAGCTGTTTTTATCAGCCTAGTTTTGACCTCTTCAGCAGTACGCACACACCGGCGTTCGAAACAAGTGATTCAGCGAGGAGACACTCTCCGACGACGAATTTATTATCAATCCGTGCAATTGTATGGTTTTTAAGAAGCTATATTCAGTGAGGGAATTGAATCATGGGTGTGAATGCTTAAAATAATAATAATAATAGTAGTATGAAATACAATTAAAATGTTTGTGATTATAATCGTAGTTAAATAACAAGTGGCAAAGCAAATTAATGTCATATGTAGAATAATGCATAGGATGTATAGAACTTGGAAGGGGTATGAAATTATAGGATTAGTAGGTAAATCGAATAAAATAAAAAACGTTACGTAATATTGTGTGAAATTTAATAGCATAGAATTTAACGTTGTAAAAAACACTGATTTAGAATGATAGTTGGGAAGAATGAAATAATCCCGGGGATAATTTGAGAATAATAATAATAACAATTGACGTGATAAAAGAAGAGTATAAAAATTGAATAGACAAAATGAAAAAAATTGGTAAAGGCAAAATATGATTAGGGATTACCATACTTTAGCATAGAGGGATTAAGACCATGCAAGTTGGAGGGGTTGAATGAATTTTCTTCTGTTTCGATGGCGAAAGCTTCAACAATACAGATGCAGCGGAAACGTTGTGATTTGGGCAAATTATTTTTCACCTTTTAGATGATTTTAAAGGCCGGAGGCAATAGAGAGATAGGGGTGTTCATTATCGACCAGATGTTCAATGATCGCGCTTCTTATTGCTCCACTTCTACTACCTCTTCATAACCATTCAGGATAGTGTACTTACACTCTCCTGGACAAAACTCGAGCTGAACAACGGATATACCTAGCGCTGTACAAGCAAGCAAATTGATAAACGTGTGTAGAGAGTTGGTCAGCTGCGGGATCTTTTTCTTCAGGTTACCGAACAGTACTGGTTGACTAGAAGACGCTATTTCCAACGATGCATCAGTGAACAACCCTTCCAGGGACTGTGAGATCCGTCTTTCAATGATGTCGGAAGCTAGGTAACATTTGAATTCCAAGCTCGTGTACAGTCTTTTCTTGGTTATGGATGATAAATCACATTTTATATGATTTAGATCTTATATGCCTGTCTATAAAACGTGGTGGGAATCCATTTTTTTCCCAAGAGATTTAACTCTTCCTCCACAATATCAGGACTGCATATGCGTCGAATGAGAGTGGCAAGCGACCGGATCAGATTTCGTTTTTTTGACCAATGGGTACCCAGCTGTAGAAATTTGTCAGTTGACAATTCTATGACACCTTTCGATAAATCGATCCCTTCAGAGTTCCATCTGTCCTAGACTCGTTCTGTGTTTTCAGTGTGAATTTTACCGCTGGACAGCAACCATTAAATGCATTTAATATATATTATTCAGGTTACAATCACTATTACAAATAATAAAGGTGTCATCTACCTACCTTTTATGCATTTGAAAATTTTGAATTGTTGACTTCAATTGACTATTTTCTAAACTGACCATCAAACAGTCTGCAAGGAGAAGAACCATGGGAGAATTCACCGCAATACCATCCTTCTGTCTGTAGATTATTTCATTGAAAGTAAATTGTACATTTAATTTACATGCCAAAAGTAGTTCTTTCAAATCTATAGTCGGTATCCTCATGTTCAACATGTTGTCTGTTGGTTTTTTAGGATTAAATTTGTTTTTAAGAGTTTGACCATGGATTGATATCAGTTAGAGAAACATTGAAAACCAGCACTGGAGTACAGTACTGGACAGCCAGCTGTTCCATCAGCTTAGTTTGAGAATCATCGGTAGTACTCACTCCACCACAGGGGGGTTCGAACCCATGACCTTCCGATTACAAGGCTAGCAAGTTCGTATACGACTCAGCCACTAGGTACCGATTCAGTAGTAGCCAGTCCATGAATTCTAACTTCTGCCACCAATTCGTGAGTTTTTATCGCGACCACCAACCATTGTCGTCGGCAGTGGGAAATTTCATCCTCACACTTGACTAGCTGGACCTCACTGGTCACAACTCCTTACTCTAGGTCACTCTAGGAAACTCTGTCCTATTGCAAGTCACTAGCAAGCACCAACCAGATTAATCGACTCCCGGTGGCTGAGTGGTATACGAGCTTGCCGGACCTCGTAACTGGAAGTTCCTGGCTTCGAACCCTCTGGCAGTTGATGCGTACTGTCGATGAGTCCCAAACTAGGCTGATGGAACAGCTGTCTAGTACTCTCCTTCCTGGAGATTTTCAATAGTTCTCTAAGTGATATTCATCCGTGGTCAAACTCGTAAAAGAATAAATTACTCATTTACTTACTTACTTACTTTACTTCGGCTATCTCCTACGGGAGGATGAGCTGGCTTCATGAACGTCTCGAATCATCGCTGCCCAGGCGCGGCAATTTGTAAGAGAGTTCATGAAGTTTCATGGGAATTTGGTACGAGTGATGTCCCCAGCATCGCTCGGCCTTTTGTTTGAGAGTGCAGCTCTAGCCTTTACACAGCCAAGTGTGACCTACAAGGCAGTAGGAGTGGAGTAAGGAGTCCACTATCCATTGGCAGCCGGTGACCGGAGTTCGGTTCATACGCCTTTTTGAATGGGGCCAGACATCCAGGACATCCAACAAGCCCTTTGTCCATACGTCTGCCGGTGAGCTCCAGTGAGCTTCATACGCCAGTCGTTGGAGGTTTGGAATCAGGGTTTAGCCATCTCCCCTAGACCGTCATCCAATGGACAGTCAACCCGGTGGAGAGCGCCGGGCATCCGCTTTCGCCCTCTCACTTTGGTGAGAAACACCTCCGCCACGTGAAGGCAGTGAGTAGGACTTCCTCAGGAGAGGCTATGTAAGACGCCCGGTCATATGGGAGCATTTCAAGAGGTGTATGGAGGGGTGGCCAACCCGCAGCACAAGGCACCCACCCCCGACCATCCTGAGGCTTTGGAGGCTAATTACTCATTTCACCGTAAATCTTCAAACTAAATAACTGCCGTTTAAAGTAGCAAAGTTCTTTATTCTACAAGATAGATTCATTGTTTCATTTCTATCATGACATATTTATTCAACAATTGTGGTGCTGATAACTGGTGTAAACTTGTCAAAATGCCGCTTCTTTTTTCTAGACTAGTTTCTGCAAAAAAAAATGTGTTTAACTCTGTCCTTTTTTAAAACAAATTTCTCAAACTGTTAAGTGACGACACTATTTACGTACTATGTAATTCTATCGATTATTGCATCTCTTTTTTCCAAGATCTTTACATTCAATGAACTCTTTTTAATGTATGTATGCGTATTTTACATAAATTAATTCTCCATCACTTGATACATTTAACTGTAATAATTATAATCACAAATATCTGATTGCACATTTCACGCTATAAAAAAGATGTCACATGTATGTATGTATGTATGTGTATATTGCAATAAAGCTGGCTGTTGTTAAATATGATACGCTGCACTGAATGGAACTGACTGACTCACTGACTGATTGGTTGGTAGGTTTCTACATAGAACTCTGCTCCGATGTGCATTAGTTCTAGTCGTCACACTGCCTCTATATACCACACAAAACGAGGGAAGATAGTAAAAAGAAATGCAAAACAGAGACAGTAAACAGGGATATCAGGCAAAAAAGAATAGTAATAACAAAGAACAATAAAGTTTTATTTGAAATCATAAGTCACAAAGAGCGGATGCATCTGCACCAGCCATTGAGAACGGTTTTAAGCCATATCACCAATTGTTTCCAACCATTGGTTTTTACCGTCCCAAGGACCCCAATGTGGAGAAGTGTACACCTTCCTATCTGGCTGGCTGGCTGGCTTAAACTAACTGTTGTGGATTTGACTGACTGATAAAGCCATATACTCGTTTGACCACCGCTAGCTAGCTCTTTTCCAGACTGATCTGATATCAGCTAGCATTGCCCGTCAGTCGAGGAAGGCGATGACTAGGCATACGTAACGCATGTCCTAACCGCCTCTCAGTCGGTGTAGCTTCACAGTCTCGTCGATTGATTTCTTCTCCTATACCTAACCTCAATATTGCTCATTTTATTATACCACTTCACACAGGAGATAGAACTCAGGTACCTATGATCAAATACAGCTAATCCATTCCTGCATTCCGTGTGTAACTCAAGACTCCAGGCCATAGAGTTTCAGTGGTTATGGAAGGATTGCCAGTCTCACGCCTAAACTTTCCACTTTTCTGGATTTATGGTTATTGGCTAGTAGTACACTAGACAAGGTTTAAAAAAAGTGTCCGTTGGCTGAGAATCGAACCCTGGACCTCCCTTGTAGCTGCTGGTAAACAATCTGCCCCATTGGACCGCTGTTGATACCTGATTTGAATAAATATACAATCGTATTTTTAATTTTGAAATGTTAGTTATTGACAATATATTATTATACATTTTTATATTCTCTTTTATATTCCTTTACAAAATCCCTAAGGTGTATACACTGAATCCAACATTTCGTGCTGAGAATTCGCATACTAGACATCATCTTGCAGAGTTTTATATGCTTGAAGCAGAATCAATCTATTTGGATAATATTGATTCATTATGCTCAGAGATTGAACGAATTCTTAAAATGATATTAAATGAATGCTTGCAGCTTTATCCTACTCAAGTTGAGTCAAATGAATTAACCGATTCACAGGTAAGTTGACAGTGTGTGTGTGTGTGTTAGAATATATATCCAGTGGTTCCCCATTTAGACATTTAATAATAAAACAGAAGGATTGAGTAATGAAGAATTATTTACTTTTCAATTAGATACTCATCTTACTCTACTCTAATATGCACATTATTATTGTTACCCTGGGTTCCTAGTGGAACATAGCGCTTCAACTGCACGTCTCCACTTGCCTTGTTCTGTCTCCCTTCTGCTGTAATTTTCACCTGCATCCATGTTCACCATTCATACTGTTTCAACTCCTCCTCTTCACACGATCTCCTCCATGTCATCCTTGCACTGACGACGTCCCACTCACCGCCTGCTTCCCTTTCGGCCTGGTTCCACTCGAGCGATCGCCTGACGCGCGTGCGATGTCACCCAGCGGCGGCCTCCTCAGCGAGTGTCCAATCCTTCTCCACTTTCTCCTGCATATTTGTTGGTTGGCGATTGGTTCTTGTTTTGTTTGTTTGTTCCCATAGTTTCTTGTTGGTGATTCTTTCCGGCCCGACCATCTGATTGATCTTCAGTATAGAGCCAGCGAAGACAGTTGTTGGTTGATAAAGGTCTGGTCTGCAACAGGCTGTTGGAAATATTCTTTGTGACCCACCCACCAAGTTTCTGTCTGATTCGTATAGAAGAACTGACTGACTTGACGTTGTTTGTATTGAAAATCCGACTGAATTTTGTTGTTGATGCTGGCTGAGTGACGAAGATTTCCAGATTGGTTTCACGTTGATGAATAATGTGTTTCTCACCTTCCCGATTCTCGGTTTGACATCCTCGTCCGTTCCAACTTCCTGTAGTTGAGACAATGCTCCCTTGATCAGTGAGTGAATGAAGTAACCTCTTTCAAATCCCTCCTGTTGATAGTGATTGACGATGGATGCTGCTGTTGTTGTTGGTTGATTATTTTCATAATCTCCGTCTTGTCTATGTTCACCTGGAGTCCCATCTTCGCCGGCTGCTTCTTCGACCAGTTTGTCGGTTTTCACTTGTAAGTCTTCGACTTTATGACAGTGACATCAAACATAAATCATCCACGCGCGAAATCTAGGTCTTCCAGGTTCTTCACGTCAGTCCAGAATATCCCTGTCTTTCGGTTTTCCACTCACTATCTGACGCATAATCCAGTCCACCACAATTAGGAACATCACCGTGGGTGGTAATAAGCACCCTTGTCTGACTCCTGTGTTTACTCCAAACGCCTCGCTGAGTTTTCCGTTGTGGATCACTTGACATGTGCCGCGGTTGTCGTACGGCTGGCTGTTGAATAAGGTTGATGAATATTTGGGGTACGCTGTAGTACTCGAGTAGTTTGCAAATTACTTCACGGTCAACGCTGTCTGTCGAAGGCCTTCTCAAAGTCTATAAAGTTGAGGTAGGGGTTTGATTGCCATTCCATGCTTTGTTCTGTGATGGTGATGCGTAGAGTTGCAATTTGGTCAGTACATGATTTGCCTGACTTCCCTGAATCCAGCTTGTTCTAGTCGTAGTTCTGTATCCAGTGTGTCCTTTAATTTCTCCAGAATGATGCGACTCAGGATTTTACTTGGCGTCGACAGGAACATGATTCCTCGCCAATTCTTGCAGAGTGAGACGTAAGTCGCCTTTCTTTGGTAGTAGTTTCACGAGGTAACCTTTCATCCAGTCAGTAGGCACCTGACTGGACACATAGAGTACATGGAGCATTTTATTACAATACAAAACAATTTTACCAATCAAGTGGCACTGATATGTTTGTTAACAATAATTAGTCAGTCAGTGTCAACATGTCAATGGGGTGGGGTAATTATTAACGAAGAAAATTAGCATACACACAATTATAAGGTAGAAATGGTTACAGCACATGGGTTGCGTAATGCATAATCTTGGAGAAATGAAGAGTAATTAAGGGAATAAGCGTGTGCACAGATTGATTAGGTAACAGATTGTTAAAGAAAGTAAAACGATTTGGACAATGATAACTTGTAACTAGGGATGAAATAGTCATAAGAATAAAATAATTTTACAAGGATAACATGTAATTCAAGATGAAGTAGTCAGAAAAATAGTAAAATAATTTGAATAATTACAATTTTTTGAAGATATAGGGGAGGGGGGCGATGTAATTCGGTGTATACATTCATCTAATGATGGCCAAGGTAAAGAAAGTAGCTGTACAAATTTCTTCTGAACACCGACAGGTTTGGCTTCTTCAGGTGGATGGATTAGTAGGAATGCGATAAATATAATTTTAAATGCAGTATTAATGTCAACCTTATGCTCACTAGCATCTGCAAGGTGTACTAAAATAGAGCTACCTACGAATAGATCTTGTTTGTCCCTTGCTTAACCATGTGCTGGATGATGTTCGGGAATACAATGATGAACCTGCCTAATTGTACACCCGATGTCGCTGGCTCCGCAGCTTCAGTCAAATTGGTAGATTCACATAGATAAGGCGAATTTAGGTAGTTTATCCTTATTTCTCGAACGTAGAATAGGGGTGGTTGTGAAGAGACAACGTACCTCTGCTGCATAATAAACTCTTTTAACTGCATTCTTCAGGCGCTCGTTGTGTTATTATTTCGATAGCCATACAGCTGAAGCAATAGGAATCCATCTGAAAAAGCCAAACCTGTGTGTTCAGAAGAAATTTGTACAGCCATTTTCCTTACTTTAGCCATCATTGCATGAACGTGTAAACCAGACTACTTCGCCGTCCTCGCCCTAAACCTTTATAAATTATAAAAATTAAGATTGTCCAAATTATTATTTTTTCTGGTTACTTCATCTTGAATTACATCTTATCCTTGTAAAATTAGTTTATTCTTATGACTACTTCATCCCTAGTTACAAGTGATCATTGCCCAGCTCGTTTTATTTTTCTTTATCAGTCTGTCATGTAATCAACCTGTGCACACGTTTATTCTTTAATCACTTCAAATCTTCACCAACATCGACTCTACACTTGAGACTGAATCCGACGGAATGTTTCACTTCTTCAACGTCCATCTGACAGGAAACGCCAACAACTCTCTGAAAAGGTTCATACACAAAAAGCCTACATGGAATGGACAATTCATCAACTTTCAAAGCTTCGTGCCCCTAAGCAGAAAGAGGAACCTGATGTACGCTCTTTCCTCGAGGAATCGGAGGTATGGAGCGAGGAAGTGATTGATGGAGAACTGAGTAATCTCCGAAAAACCCTGATGGAAAACGGTTTCCCGCCCAGGTTCATAGACAAAAGTCTCAAATCAAAGAAGACTTCCGAACTAATCCAATCCGCTCCAAAGAAAATACTTCAGCTTAATCGAGAATTCAAAGGTGATATTGAAACAGAAATCCTCCGTAAACACCTCTACAAATCTCTGATGAAAACATACTTCGCCGCGAGCCTACGACTGACGTTTTCCTGCAAGAAACTCTTCAGCCAGAAGGCGAAGGACAAGCTGTCGCATTGGGCCACTTCAACGTGCATATACCAGTTAACTTGCTCTTGTGGAGTTGAGTACATCGGCCGTACCATGCGCCGACTTGAAAAATGCACTCGTGAATACTACCCAGCCTGGCTAGTAAACGGAGACCGAAAACGTGTATACAGTTCAGTGGCAGAACATCTGGACATTCAGCGCCTTTCGAAAAATCCTTCAAATTAATATACAAGCTTCAATCAAACCTATCAAAGGGAGTAAAATTAAGACATAGCTGAGGCACTAGCTATCCAAAAGCTCAAACCCATGCTTTGTATCCAAAAGAAATACGTCCAACCCCTGTCCCTGTCATGGCCATCATAAACAGGTAATTTTTTTAGTAATGACCATCCCATCGCCTTTCTTATCTAAACTTCGTGTTTATTTTGTCATTTTACTATTCCTACATATTTCATCCCTGATTGCATAAACAATTATTCATCACATTAGTTTTTTATCCAAACATCCTGTCTAATTTTGTTATTTCTACATTTCTAACCCTCAATTGCACAATGTTAATCTTCTCAGTAATTATGATGCTACTTTATTTGAGTTTTATCCGTCCCCCTATTTATCATAACATTTTAATTCCTAATTGTAATTTTGATTAATTTGACCCCTAACCGGAAATTATTCTGGACCTTTCCCATCCATTTGATATAAATACAGTAATGTACAGCCTAGATGATGACTTTGTTGAAAAGAAAATTTTCTTCGCTTCAATTGTCTTCTACATGTTTTCCAAAAGTATGCATAATGCAATTCACGTGTTGTAACCATTTCCACCTTTGTTAATTACCATTCCACCCCTGTTTGACATGTTGACACTGACTGACTAATTATTGTTAACGAACATATCAATGCCACTTGATTGGTTAACTGTTGTACATTGTAATAAAAATGCTATACATTAGATATTAGAGTAGAGCCAGAGATGAGGATCTAATTGAAAGGTAAATTCGAATATGTATTGATTGATTGATTGATTTAAGATCATAATAATGTTTAAGTAATACAAAACCAAATGATTGATCCGTGAGATTAAGGTGTTTTATTGACGAGGCTGTTATGTTACATCGATAAAGATGGCTAGGACAGGTGTTGCACTTGCCGAACCACCGCCTTCCTCGACTAGCAGTGCTAGCTGACATTAGATTACGTTGAAGAAGAGTTAAGGGTAGTCAAACTGGAACATAAAATCGTTCCATGAAGTCTTTGCCAGTTGGTTTAAGCCAACCAGGTAAAGCAGTGTAGACTGGCTGACTAAGGACCTCATGATGCTAAAAATGGATAACTGGGGATTATTGGATAGTATAATTGCTAGCCTTATGCCCTCTAAACTTCCCTCAGCTAGGCGTCAGCCGGATGTTAAAGAGTGATTTTTGTTATTATTTCTCCCTTGAGTTCTGAGTGGAACCTATAGGACTTCTACAACACACATCTCCACTTTATTCTATTTTCTGCTGTCCTCTTCACCTGCCTAGCTCCACGACTGGCATTCCAATCGAGCGATGATCTACACTGTGCGTG